TGAGAGGAGGAACTAAGGTCAAAAAATAAGGAATTATCTCTACGAATAATATGTGGTATGTACCCAGCTTGAATGGAAACAGGCAACGAGAAGCCTCTCACCAGAGCTTTGCTAAATGCGCAAGCAGATGTTGGGGTTTAGGGTTTTCTTATGAAAAATTTATTTGTATTCCTCAATTTCAGCCATTTATAGAGCTTCCTCCCCATGGTACCGGAGAAGTTAATAATATTTTAATGGTTGTAAAACCATAAGGTCTGTGCACATTGCTCTTTTTCCCGTTTTGCAGCTGGAGTGCTGAGCAAGGGCAGGTTAAGCCCAGCATCACAGAGCCCGCGGATGGCAGGGAGGTGTGTGATCATACACTGGTGCCGTAACTGCTGCACCAACCTCCCCTTTCCCCGACCGACCCCGCAGCAGTTCATGGCAGGGGACTTGGCTGTCACTGGGCTGAGATGCTATAGATCATCTCTTGACTGGAGACGGATCCGAACGTTTCAAAGGAGTAGTCTTCTGTTTAAAACCAGCACTTATTTGGATCTCTTATGCAAAGGATAAAAAGCTTTTCAAAATAGCCAGCATGATTATTCATGACTACTCATTTGCAGCAGTGCTCGTTTTCCATGGCAGCGCCGATGAGCTCACCTGAATGAAGATTTATGGGGGACAATTAATGGTTGAAGGTTTTACACAAGCAAAGGTGTGGGGCGGCACAGTCCTTTTGCACGGGGTGCTTGGTGCACTCTGCTAGACTGGAGACCCCATCCCCATCCCAGTGCCGGTCTTGCCCCTGCCATGCCCTCACCCGGCTGGCACAGTGAACTCACCCCTGATTGTTTTATTCACCAGTATCCACACAGGGGAAGGATTTGGGGACAAACTGGGTTTCCTAAGGAAGCTCTTGATGGATGGCCACACCTGATGGGGGTGTGTGTGATGATTCCTACCAAAACAACCTGAAGAGATATGCCCAAGGCTGCACGTGGAGGATGTGGCAGTGCTGGGGGGGGAGCCCAGATCACTGCGGTCCCAGCCTAACTCTGAACAGTTTCCCAGCAAGCAGCCTGACCTGTCCCCTCCTGCACACCACTGCCCTCCATGTACTCCGACCAGCGAGCTGCAGGGACTGGAATTTCCTGACTCCCGAGACCTCAACTGCGCTGCCTTAACACCCACTGGAGTCTCTTTTGCTTCCCCTTCCTCATCCCCCCCCACGCTCCACTATTTTGTTTGTCTGTGGTTTTGCAGAGGGAAAAAACAAAGTAACTGGAGGTTTCCGGGAGACCATACTCCGTGCTGCCCATCAGACAGCAGACAATAATATTTAGCTGCTTTGATCAGTTTATTGTTACAGTATATTTAGATGGCGAGCTGCAAATTCCAGCGCTGCAGCAGCAGCTGCGAGCAATGTGGTGTGTGTGGCGCAGCCCAAAATACAGGCAGAATCTGTCAGTGCAGCCGAGCGCCGGTTGGGTTGTCTGCTGCGTGATGTAACCCCTCCTTTAATTTGTTTTCCAGAAAATTCATTTTGGAGAAGTGCTCTGCGAATGGCTTGGCAGCAGCCGGAGGAAATGGGCTTGGGAGGACGTCAGCTGTCAGCCTGCAGCCCCCGCTGCCAAGCTCTGGCCGGCGGGACGGTGTGGGGGCTTGCAGGGCTGCCTTTCCTGCCAGGGAAGAGCCTTTGGGTCGCGTCCACACCGAGTTACTCTCGGTCAGCCCGTGCTGCAAGCTCCAGCGCAGGGACCATATTTATTTGTATGCTTCTACAGCGCCCAGCACAGAACAGTCTGCACCTGTGGATGCGACAGTAAAATGAGTGATAAATAATAAGCCAAGAAGGAGCCAGTGCAATTTAATCTGTGTAAGTGAATATAGTTAACAGGGGAAGGATGCTCAGGCTGGCTAAGGATGTCCTTCCTTTTCTCTGTGGGTCTGAGGATGCATGTCCAGGCTAAAGCCTTGCAGCATTTAGAGGATACAGCACAGAGAGCCTTGCCTGCTCTGTTTTGCTCCACTTGACTTTTTCAATTTATCTGTAGGATATGGAGGGAGCGTGGCTGAGAAAGGGAAGCACAATGTGTGTCAGCTGCAGTGGGAGAGGGATAAAGTGGCAAGTGATCTCCTTCCTTCCTTCCTTCCTTCCTTCCTTCCTTCCTTCCTTCCTTCCTTCCTTCCTTCCTTCCTTCCTTCCTTCCTTCCTTCCTTCCTTCCTTCCTTCCTTCCTTCCTTCCTTCCTTCCTTCCTTCCTTCCTTCCTTCCTTCCTTCCTTCCTTCCTTCCTTCCTTCCTTCCTTCCTTCCTTCCTTCCTTCCTTCCTTCCTTCCTTCCTTCCTTCCTTCCTTCCTTCCTTCCTTCCTTCCTTCCTTCCTTCCTTCCTTCCTTCCTTCCTTCCTTCCTTCCTTCCTTCCTTCCTTCCTTCCTTCCTTCCTTCCTTCCTTCCTTCCTTCCTTCCTTCCTTCCTTCGCCACCTCATAAGTGTCACTAGGACCATGAGGGCAGATGACTACTGTGAGTAAGGCCACTAGAAATCAGCTCTCTAACTTCTTTCATGACTGCTGACCCTAAAGCCAAAATGGGGTGCTGTGCAGGAAAAATGGGTAGAGGTGATGATCTTACTGGCTTCAAGGGGATTAACTTCACATATGCCTAAATGCTTTACTGGAGGAGGTCAGAGGCATCTGTAGGGGGTCACTGCAGGATGTGATAAGAGTGCACCTGATGACTTTCCTGGGCTCTGGAGCATGTCAATTGATGAGCGTTATGGCTTAGCACTGTAGGTGAGCAGAAGGGCAGTGAAAACTCCAGTGCAAACTTCTCACTGCCTTGCTGCAGGTAACCTACTCCATAACTCACTGGAGTCATTTCTCCCTGCAAAGAAAGGCAAGCTGAAGAATTTGGTTGGCCAGATTGGACGTTTTTGGTTTTGTTTTGTTTTGGGTTTTTTTGTCCTTTTGGAAAAATAACAGCAGAGCATTTCCTCTGCCTTGTCCTCTCCCATGCTGGTAGCTGCACTGAAGCTGATTGATTAGTTTAATAACAGGCAGTTGATATGCAGCCATAAAATTATGCACTTTTACTCATCAGCCTGATTGAACTCCTCTGCTGACTGTACAGGAGCAGAATGGCAGAGTTATAATAATGAGGGAAACAGCCAAGGGAAAAGCAAGCGTGGTGGTGTTATTGTTTTAAAGCTGAGGAAGAAAATGACTCCAGGGAGGAGCTTTTCCAAAATAAATACCAAAATACAGAGGGAAAATGTTAAGATGTAATTAGCACTGGTACAAGTGCCATTAAATGTCTGCTGGGGTTGGAGGCGTCAGTAGAGCTTCTTTTACACCCACCTGGTCTATGTTGGGGTTTCAGGAGGTTGAAGATGGCCCTGCTGAACACCCCCAATCCCCGCGTCCTCAGAAAGGGTGAGAGGGGCTGAGCCCTTTGAAGAATGAATAAACTTGATGGGAAAAAGATGGGAAAACAGCTTTTTTTTTCGCTTTTTTTTCCCCATTTCTGGCCAAGGAGGGAAGGATATAAGGATAGATCTGGGAAAAATGTGTCTGGGAAAGGTTCGTCCCCTCTGACCCCATGCTAATGGCATCAGTGTAGTTGAGGTGGTGTGAGGGATGTACGGGAAGTACCGGGGCTCTTGCAGCCCGGCCTGGCAAGGACATGACTCCTGTTGGTGATGTCCCTATGGCCCTGAGCTCTGCTCTCTGTGTTTCTGGGCACCAAAGTAGTTGAAGTCAGACTCTGTCCTGTGGGGTGTCAATCATGCTCTCCAAAGCCACCAAAGGGAACTGAAGGTTCCCATTCAGCCATGAATTAATATTCAGGAGCAGGCAGCGGGGCTCACTGATGAAAAGCCACACAGCCCCTGTCCATGCATGGAGAATGGCATTTAAGACTTTATTTCCCAATAAAATATTTTGCAGTGCTCCAGAATGGCTTGCTCGGTTGACAGGCTCACTGTTTGTCCTGCACACATTCGTTTTATTTATAAGACTAATTTGTCTGCGAATAGGTCAGTCTGCTTCTTGTGCCTGTGATTCCCATCAGTCTCACTGCTGTGAAACATTTTAATTGAACGTAGCCACGTGCTGCATCGCCAGGACGGGCATCACGCTGCCTGCCCTGCCACTAGCTCCAGTCTCCATCCAGAAGGCCCAATACAAAACTATCAGATTTTCCCTATTGTGGCAGATCTCCCTGAAGGAGGGGATGGGAACAGGGGAGGGGAAAAGCACCACTTGGCATTTATTCTCTCACAGACAAATGCTTGGCAGATGGTTGCACAACTCTCCTTGCCCTTGTCCCTGATTGCACCCCATCCAGGTTGTTCCTGGAAGCAAGGCTCTTCCTTATTTGTTCCAAAGGGCTTTGGGTCAGGCCGTGTGCGGCTTGTACAATGCTGTTGGAGAGGATACACAGCTGCACTGACATATCCATGGGTGCTGCTTCTCCAGCTACTCCCCTGTTTATTATGAGTGCCCTCTCCTGTAGTTCTTGGGTGGGCTTTCCTCCTGGGTTCCTCCTATGCCACCTCCTGTTTCCCATCTTCTCTGGACAGGAGCAGCTGGGTTGCTGTTGGCATGCATTAGCTTGTCCACATTGTCTCACCAACAGCCACAGGTCAGGAAACCCCTCCACATCTCCTGACAGCCAAGGGCTGATTGGTATAGTCACCCTGTCTGGCTAAGTTAAGTGTTCCCTGAGGCCAGAGGGGTACATTTTAGAGTCACTGCAGGATCCCTGATGTCACTTCCATCAGACCTCAATGCCTATGCATGGGCCCCTGAATCCTGCCCAGGTTCCCAATGACCATCATGGGAAGGCAGACCCTGAGCTCTCCTACAGCCCTTTGGACTCTGCAGGGGCAGGACTGGGCAGGATTCAGTTTCTGTCCTCATGCAGGATTGACTAAGCCTCTGTCACTCCTGATGGACATTTCTTCTCCTTATCCTTAGAAACCTCTGGCGATGGAGATCCGTGATCTTCTCTGTGGTGACTCCAGTGCTTCACCACCCTCAGCGAGAGGCGGGGTTCAGCTGCTTCTCATAGACATCTGGTATCACTTTACACACCCTGTTTTCTGTGATTCCATGAGATTCATGTGAAACCACAGCCTAAGTAACCTCCCAGTAAAAGCACAGCTAGGATTTCAAAAGCTGGAGCCATGGTGAACTTCATGTCCCTCAAGGCAATGTCCATAATCATCTGGCTGATCCTGGCAGGGTTTCAGTGCCAGCTGCAGCACATCTCTCCTGGGTATTTCTTGTAGTGTGCTATGGAGCTAATCCAGAGTCTGCTGAAAGTGGTGGAAATCTTTCAATGTACAGGACAGGGATGGATCAGACATTGCAAAGAGCATCCTCACATGAGCTCAAGAACCAGGAATGAGGTCCTGGGTTGATGAGTATGGAGCTGGAAGCTCTGAACTCTGTTTTCTCTCTCTACTGTTGTGGGCCTGCTTCCTTCCTGGCAGCCTGTAGTCTTTGTGAGACTTAGCAAAGGAAGACGTGGAATATGCACCTGAACTCCGAGTACTGCTGGTGCTAAAGCAATACTTTGCTCCACTGATGAGGCGAAGGCCTGCATGTGGCTCCTTGTCCTCCAGGCTGGAGTGTCCTCTGGCCTGTAGTGGAAAAGATAAGCTCAATGTGTTGTAGCAAAGACTTTTCTTTTATTCATCTTCATCTAAAGTAAAAACAGACCCTACAAATCAGTAACAAATTGTCTTTCTGCAAGTGAAAATGTTGGTAAAAACTGTCAGGGTTTCTTTACGAAATGAAGTTGGAAAACTAAATTTAACTGCTCCTTCAGGCTTCGTTTCCCCTTCTTTTTCTGGCAAAAGCCCCGTTACCAGAATGGAAAGCTTCAGTATTGAAATTTGCCATTAAAGTTTTAAAAGGCAGCAACCACCACAAACCTCTCCAAATACTTTGGAGAAAAAAACAACAGTAAAACCTACCAAAGCTTTTTTCCCTCTCCTTATTTTGAGTTGTTGCAAAGAGCCCTTTCCAAGGCAAAGTATGTCACAGGGAGAAAGAGTAAGAGGAGGCAAAGGAAGGTAACGTGGACAGAGGCTGCAACAACAAACAATATTCTGACTCAAAGGATGTTGCAATCACATTGTATATACTTGGAAATATTTTTAAACCATTTTTAAACCAAAGCAGAAGTTGAGGAGAAGGTAGCCCATGCCAGGAGGAGAAAGACGTGGAGTACAAATTAGGAGTCCAGGAAGAGTGAATGATCATCAGCCCTGAGAGGGAGCTTCAGGACAGGATGGAAGGGGCAGGAGCAGAGGCAGTGAGGCTGGGAAAGTCACCAGATTGAGCAGGACAGGGCAAGAATGGGTCATTATATAGTCCTGTCTTGAAGTCACCTAAATGTGCAGAATGTGTACAGCCACTTGCAAGACGTCAGGGCCAAAGCCTGTCTACATAGTTCTAGGTACTGCCTGAAACAACAGGCACAAATTGTTAATAACAAGAATGTTCATACAGGAGTTCTTGCCAACTGAGAGGGGGAAACCTACCTAATGAGTGCGTAGTGATTTCCTGCTCTGGGCAGAAGATTTGGCTAGGTGACCTCCTGAGGTCACTTCCAACTTGATTTATTCTCTGATCCTATGAGCGCAAGACAATGTCCTCACCAGGGTCCTCGTACATGTTGTGTATGATGATGAAGAGGATGTGACAAGTAAAGATTGGAATGAATTCAGTCTACAGTGAATATCTTTCTCCAGACTTTGAACATCATAGAATTATAGAACCATTTAGGTTGGAAAAGACCCTTAAATTCATCTAGTCCAACCATTAACCTAATACTGCCAAGTCCACCACTAAACCATGTCCCTAAGTGCCACATCTACATGTCTTCTAAATACCTCCAGGAACGGTGACTCAACCACTTCCCTGAGCAGCCTGTTCCAATGCATGACAACCCTTCCAGTGAAGATGTTTTCCCTAATATCCAATCTAAACCTCCCCTGGCACAACTTGAGGCCATTCCTCTTGTCCTATGATTTGTTATTCGGGAAAAGAGACCAACAGCCACCTCACTACAACCTCCTTTCAGGTAGTTGTAGAGAGTGCTAAGGTCTCCCCTGAGCCTCCTTTTCTCCAGACTAAACTACCACAGTTGCCTCATCTGCTCCTCATAAGACTTGTGCTCCAGACCCTTCACCAGCTTCGTTGCTCTTCTTTGGACATGCTCCAGCACAAGATACTTATAACCCCATGGATCCTACAGCAGGGTCTTGATTCCCCGTACAGCATTGGGTTTTTATAGACTTTTCCAGCAGAATCTGGCTTCATTTTAGGGATGTCCCAGATCACCTCCATGGATTCTCCTTCCCTCCTCTCCCCAGAGAGTTACAATTGCTTGAGAAAATAAAATAAAGGAAAAAATAAAAGATTTGACAGTGATTTAAAAATATAATATATAGAAAGTAGAAGAAATGTAGTGTGAAGCAAAATGCAGGTCTTAAATGTACTGCTTGTATTTTCCTCTCTGCAGGGGCAGCTCTGTGGCTGCCGTGCACTGCAGGATTCTTGCTGACTTTGTTTTCTTCCGTCTGAGTGACCTCCCGGTCACTCCAAATGTCACTGCGGAGTCACGGCTCCCTGCAGCAGCCCCTTCCGGACAGGGGGACACTCCGTCATCAGACGAGAAACTTGGCTTCACACACCAGACAGCAAATCAGTGTCAGAAACAACAGAGGCACTGGGCGCAAGAGGGAGAGGGGGTACAAACCAGGGGGCTTTGTCTTGTGATCATTATTGATCAGCATACCCAATACTCATACTCCATGGACTGCAACAGCAGCCTCAGTGAGCCTAAATGCCCCAAATTCCCCCCAAACACCACCTTTGGAAAAAAAGTTTCTTCATGATGATTCACTGGTGGACTTTGCACCCAACATACTGATAAAACCTCGAGCTACACAAGCAACAGGAGGCAGGGAACGGGGTCTTTTCCAGGCAGCACTGCTTTATTTTGTGGTTGACATTTAGCTATCACTGAGATGGGTACATTAAAATAACGGTAAGACAAATATTTGCATGAAGAGCTGCCGAAAGGTAAATTGCCTGGCATTACCTCCAGCATGTCTCACACACCATGAATGGGGATGCATGGGTTGGAGTCAGGAAAATCCCAACCTCTGACCATTCACAGTTGCCCCTCTGGGGAGACCATCTTCTGTCTTTAAAGCTCAGTTTGCCACGTGAGCAGTATTGATTTGAAAGTATCAGGTGCTGGATTGATCTACCTAAATCTGTTGAAATTCTGATGGAGCAGTTGATGGAGGTCAGGAGACACTTGTCCCATCTTTCAGCACAAATCCAAAATGGATCAGATGAGTTACAGTGCCTCCAATGTGCCTCTTTCCCTCTATGGCCTGCCAAGGTGTCTGCTAGCTGCTCACAAGGTTTGGCGTGGGGGAAGATATGCTGCTGCCTTTTAAGTGTGTCCTAATAATTTGTCACCGTCTTTGTTAAAAAAACCTGCCTCTTTTACAATGCAAATTCATCTGGACCTCAGCTTTCCAATTTGCTGCTATTGTCACATTTTTCTCAGATTTCATAGATTAGGCAGCCTTGTATCTTGTATTCTCACCCCTCAGAGGCAATCCTTAGCTGTAGTCAAGTCCACTCCCAATTTTAGCTTGTGTTTGTTTACCCTCTCCTTGTGATAATTACCTCCAGCTCTCAGATTATTTTGGTGACTCACCCTGCCCAACTTCCCAGGATTGTTTTTAACGGGAATTTGGGACCTTCGCAGTACCTGTTTCATTAACATCCTTCATGGAGGCAAGTTTACCTCTGCATCCCTCTCGTACTGACTCCACCTCCAAGACAAAACCACTCCCTTCTGACTCTCCTTTGGTCTGAGTTCATGTCCTGCTGCTTGTCCGTGGTGATCACTTTAGCTTTTTGCACCATCACTGCTCTCCCCATGACCAGATGGGACTGTCCTTTCTTGAATGTCACTAGCTAGTAAACACCAGTCCCAAGGCATCCATTAATTTTTCATCCAGCATTGAATTCATCCATAGCCACCATACTGAGGTCCTCAGCTGATTGATTTAATTTTCAATGAATGCTATTGCGTGTTCAGAAATCACCAGCTGTGTTTTTAGAAACACTAATGCTATTCTGCTATTACAGCACAGGTTTCTCAGACTGAAATCTGTATTAACCAAAGTCTTTTCATTTCTGCATATTAAAGGCTGGAGTTCTTCTCCACTTGAATTCAATGGCTCATAACAGATCCCTGCCACTACCCACTCTTGGGTAATGTTAGCTCAAAGATGCAAAGGCATGAAAGAATCTCTGGCTCTGAGCTATCAATAAATCTTAAATGGAATGTGGGTTTTTTATTAATAGGTGTCCTCTGCTCCCTTTCCTCCCTTCTGTCTTCCTCCACACGTAACAACCCATTACTGCAGCACTCCACTCGCCTGAATCACTCGCGTTTGTCACCCCAGACTCCCAGCAGTACTACATAAACTACTGAAAAAGCTCTCCTTCTTCTCTGTCGCATCGCTTCAATCTGCTCTTGTCACACAAAATATGGTTTTGTTTTGTATTTGTCTGTTTCACTCTTGTCCATTTTGTTATCAGTTTAACACCTTTTTGTTTGCATTCTCCAGTCTCCAGCCAAAGAAAAAACAAAAATCTTTCCTACCCAAGAGCTGTCGGCTTGCTTTACTATCGGCCCATTCTTGCCTTTTACGAAACCAAAACTTTCAGCTGCATATTGCAGAGGAGGCAGCTCACGCCAGTATTTTTTGCTTTCTTTCTCGATCTTTTAGAATAATCTCCCAGCTACTCCCTCCTCCAAATTATTTATTTTTCAGACTTGCAGGGTCTCTGAAGTCTGTGCTGACCTGTGTAACTCCATGTGACGCTCCATCTGTTGTTGACTTCTATGTGTTTACTTACTAAGCGGGAAACCGAAACCGTGACTTCAAGATCTGGCCAGTGTCACTTGCCATTCCTCAAAAATAAGATCTGTCATGTATTGAGCTCTGATTTTGATCTGCTCAAGCCTGCTGTGGTTCAGGCTCAGGGATGCTGACTGAAGGAGGACCCATTAAATTCTTCCTGTGCAGTGATCTATTTTGCATGGATCCGCCTCAGCCTGTGGAGAACCAAGTGTGTGAGTCAGGAAGGGACAACAGCAGTCTGGTGTGCACAGCCACCGCCAGTGAAGTTATGGCCTTAGGTCAGAGTGGTCCCCAAAGTATCTGTTCTGTACCCCCCTGCTCCACCATAGGGTGCAAAGCACTTCCCAGCCATGGTGGTCGTCCTCCCTAAGGACAGCCACAGCAGAAGCTGCTCTCCAGAACAGACCATAACCCACTGGTTTGAGCTTGGACCAGTACGGTGAACCTGTTTTAAAGGCAGTCAGACCCTGATATCTCAGCATGGACAAGGCTCTGCATTCAGATGCAGACTGGACTGAAGATGTGTCTGGGTTTATATGTACATAATTCTCTCTCTGGGCATACATGATACCAACAGCTGGACCTCCAGTTCAAGTATACTTATACATATGTGTATACGTGCATGGCCAGTGAGGTGTATTAAAATCAGTTTATTTCAGAAATAGCATCATTTTTCCTGGCAAAGGAGAGCAGCTTCTCTTATTTTCTGTGCCACTTGTATTTTTGGGCTTAGCGAGGCAAAATGCCAAGGAGCAACAACATGTTTACCTAAGAGCGGCTAAAAGAGCTGTGTAGCAATCAAGGTATTGAGTGGGTTGGGCTGAAAATAGATCGGCTTGGAAAGACTTTGATCAGAAATGTTCATCAGGGGACTGGATAGCCGTGAGCACTGGTAACAACCTCTTCAGGAATATATCCCCAACTTGCCGAAGCTAATTAGGTGCAGTACTTTTGTGCAGTGTGTCTGTGGTCTGCCTTGCTGACACTGTGCCATAGTTACCCTCAGCTACGGGGACCAAATTGTCCTCTCCCATCCTTTGATGTTTAACTTTCTAGGTCAACACCGAGGTGAAGAGACACGTGGAGAATCCCCCTGCACAAGCAGGGAGAAAGGTGCACGCTTCTTCCTCCAGTCACTCCTGAACCTTACCATGAAATGGCAATGTGATCTTTTTTTTCTGGAAAAACCTCTTTTGAAAAGGTATTTGTGGCTTCAATGGGACATCACCAAGTCCTTCACCTCAACCTTTCTGGGGTAATTATTTTTGTTTATGCCCTTGAAGGTCTCCTCAACTCCCACCAAAACAGGCTCAAAACTTTTTCCAAGCTGATAAAGTTTTGCCTTTTCCTTTCTTGATGAGCAGACTTGCTCTGCCCTCTGCCAAGCCTAACCTACCCGTGAGATTACTAAACTATTTGCCTGCAGCTTCATATATCTCAATTTATACAATACCTTGTGCCAGCTCTCCTTTCTGGGCATGTCTACATAGCTGTTTTGGCCCAGGGTCTAGGTCTGGCATGTCTCTTGGCATCCTGACAGTCGCAGCAGATTACAGAAGAAAATGTTTGGGCTCTTTTGGTGGCTCCAGGAAAGCTCTCACCCTGAGATAGGAGAACATGAACACAGCCCAGGCTCTGGCTTTGAAGGTATGAGGATACGACAGGTCTAGTCACAGGCCCTGGGCTCAGGTCCAGATAAAACGAACAACATCGTTATGTCTCTGTAGCACTTTGTTTGGAAGAGTTTCCGGTCCTTAATTGCCTTATTTTTTAGCAAATGGCTTAGGATATTGCACTATGAAGCTTTTTTCTTTGCAGTTTTCCAGCTGCAAACATCAGGGAGAACTGGCCACCGTGCAGGTCTGGGACAAATTTGCCCACCAGATACAGCAGTGTAAAACCAAGGGCTCTCCTCAAATTTCCAGCTCTGGAGCTTATTACGGATTTCGGTACCAACTGTTATCATGAAAACCACGGTTACTTCAGGACTTTGCATTTCCAGGGCTCCTGGACCCCCAGTTCTGTACACAATCTTAAAAGCACCACTTAAGGGTTGTTTGAACAGGGTCCTGCAGCTCCCCACCAGCTGTAGAGCACGCCAGGTCCACTGCTGTTCTGGATGATACTACTTGCACCCTCCTCCCAGCCCCGTTGATGTTTAAGGCTTTATCAGACTCTGTAGGAAGTGGTTTGAATGTGGTCCAAGCAATTACCTGAGGTTTTCCAGCCTCCTACGTCACATCTGGCACAATTGAACTGAAGGTATAAGCTGCTGGCTCCAGGTCTCCTCCTCCATCTCATACATCCCAGGTCTTCTGATGGCCAGGGTAGTATTTTGGCACTCTGTAAGTCGTTTAGAAACCAAACGACTGTTTGAACACAATGATACTAGCCATGCAATTCTCCTTGCAGATCTTTAAAATTGCTTTGCTATCCACATCAATCCTTTTCTGGATCAATTATCAACACAAACATAACTGCTTCCCATACACACTGCTGCATGACTACGGCTCTGAAAAACTAGGGAGAAAAAAAACCCCAACTGTCGGCACATTTGGGATTAGAGACAGAAAATTAGAGTGAAAAATTAAAAATGGCAGACCCCTGCAGTGCTACTATTTCCACCCTGGGCTCATGATGCGGTGCTGGTTTCCTGCTCTCTAGTAAAGCTGAATAGATTTTCAAACACAGAAGCAGTATGAGGACCAGCAGTTTGCTGGCTGACCTCTCCTCACCAGAGAAGTCTGTGGATGGCAACAAATCCATGACATCTCCTAAGTGAGCCCAGAGGTGCTGGGCCCTCAGTCTTGGGAAGCAGTGGGCTGCAGTTTCAGAGAAAACAATATAGGAACAAAATATGTGACCTTCCAACACCAAGGGGAAGGTCCCTCCTGCCTGCTGGAGGAAATAGTAATGGGACTTTTCTATCAGTGACTATAGACGGGGCTGAGTTTCATCCTTTAGTTAGAAGTGAATGTGAAAGGAAATTTCAAGCTTGGTATGGAGACCAGGCATAGGTTTTAGCTTATACCTGAATATTTTAGGGGCTCTCTTTTAGGATTCTCCTTATACTATGGAATCACGGCCCAGGCATCGGGGTTTGAGAACTACCAGTGTAGGGGAGATGATTTCAGAAACTGAGGTGGAAGGTCAGGAGGCATGGCATTGCTCCCGCCTGAACTTGGTTAGTTACTGTGGATCAACTGATACTCCTCAATTTGTTAAATCAGGTAATCTGACTTTAAATCTAAACCCATAGACGCAACCATGGAAAGAGCACTTCCAGGAATAGGCTATATACCCTGTAGCTCTGCATGGAATTGCAGCAAGATAATAACTCTGGGACATGGTTTATTTCCCTCTAGTTCTGTACCTTTTGGGTGCTCAAAAGAAGGTTGGGTTTTTTTTGTTTGTTTTTTTTTTTTTTTTTTAATTCTAACATTGCCATTCCCCTACTTGCTGATCTTGAGGGTTTCAGCTTTAAAATGGAGAAAATTACTGAAACTGGAAATATATTAGCGCTGTCTCAGGGGTAAAGGTACCTGACAACATCCCAGCCCCGGACTGTTGATAGCACCCAAATTTTAGCTTCTGTCTCTGCAGATGGGCTGCTGAGACTGACTGTTCATCATTATGGGCAAAAGTACCGTATACAGCACATCAACTACAAAAATTAGATACCTCTGCAGTACAGCTGACTGGCTGAAGAGATGCTTTATCTCAGCAGGTGACGGGGACACTGAAGCAGTCCATTTCTAGGGGCTCAGGGGCTTGATTCTGATCACAGCCAAGATCCCCAAAGATGCTCAGTGTCTGTTATCTGTAACAGTGTTTGTGCCACTGGAAATCCCAGGTGCCCAATAATCCCTGTATAAGCAAGCACAGACATCAGCCCACCAGCCACCTCCTTACTTGTTTGCATTCAGCGCACATTTAGAGGCAGGCAAAAATAAAATACCATGACTGGATAACACTCTCTTGAAGTCCACTTGTCTTTCATATCACCTCAGCCTAATGTCATATTCAAAACTTGCCTTCAAACCTGGGAAAATTATTTGCAGGGCTACTGAAGCTCAGAGAATAGCTCCAGTCAAGGGCCCTTTACTCCTCAGGGTTTCCAGGCAGGGCTTATGCAGTTGACATAGGGATCATGTTATGTTTCAGGAAAGAGTTTCAGGGAGGAAAACCGGTGGATACTGAAAGCAGTTTTGTGTCCTGCTGCTAAAACCCAGGCAGGACACCTGCATCCATATGCAAAAATACCGGGAGCCTATTGCATCTTCCTGACCACGGGGACAGTCAAGAACTGACTCTCTCAGCTCGTCGGAGCCTGCAGAAGTGGCCTGATGCTGAGGGGTGCTGCCACGGGCTGTCTGATGCTCCTCCAGGTCACAGCTGCAGTCCCTGGGGTAGTATCCCTGTGCTCCCCTTACAGCCAGGGATGGCTCTTTTAGGGCACAGCTCATCTCACTCCAAATGAGTCAGCTGGAATAGAGCGAAAAATTCTTACAAACCCATTTTATAGGCTGCTCTCCCCTCCAAGCATATGAAACCGTCTCCAGTCATGTGTGAGACCCACTGCCTTGGTCAGGGGCTGGAGGATGAAGATCAGAGGAGAGGAGCAGGGCAGCTCTGCTCGGCCAGGCAGGAGGCATCAGGGAAGTCACCGTGCCTCAGTGACCCTCTCCAAGTTTTTCCCTTAGCAATGGGAAACTCCACACGATCTTTTTTCAGAACTGCTAGTGAAATTGCTGCTCCCTTTAATTCGAGCAGAGATGGAAGAGAGGATCTGTACAGCCCCTCAGTGCATTTCTATCCATATACCTTTAAGTGCAATACTCGTAGCTGTCATGCACATGGCCTATTTAGTGGCCTTCTCCTCTGTGACAAGCGTCTGGCTACCCTCCAGGCTGCTCCTCTTGAACGTCCCCAGCTGATGTTGGGGGGAAGGTCTCATAGCCCAGCTTTGCATCTCTCACACGGACCCAGAAGCCCAGACAGGAAGACCTAGAAGAGTGTCTGGGACTTTTTCTGATATGTGTTGCTCTTGCAGCAGAGCACCCCCCTCATTATGTCCCTATTTTATTCCCATCCCTCATGCCAGGGATTATGTCAGTCTTACACAACCCTCACACCAGGGAAAGCTTTTCTCATAGCTTTCGTATGGCCCATAGACTGTCCTATCAGGTCCGCAGCAGGAAGAAATGTCCACCACCTCCTCAACTGATTTATACCTCTCCAGGCAAATTAAATTATGTATTTTATCCATGCTGACTTTCTAGCTGCCTCCACAGTGCCCATGTTGGTGTAGAAGCATGGAAAATTAAGGGTTTGCCATAGACTGTTACAGGTAACATACCCAAAGTATTCATCAGTACCTTGGGAGGGTGCAGGCTTTTTAACATCCATCCCAGTAGGTCGTGGCATTTTTGGCAGGAAATCAGGCTGATGTGATCAGGATATTTCTCTTTCTGCTGCCTGTTCACCGCTTGTGGACCAGGTGATCGTTTCTGACCTCGCTTGATGGTACCTTTGCAGTCCTGGAGAGCTGGAGCCTACAAGGTTTGTGAAAACAGGCAGCCAGGTAGAGGGTGGAGGGAGAGAGAAAGGGATGCTTATTATTTTTTGGGCACAACAACCCATCCAGGGGTTCAACCTGAAGTCTTGCATCCAGGGAAGACCAGGACACTTATGGGATGACTCATTCCTCTAAACCCCAGTTTTGTAGCTTCCCAAGGAGCAAGGGGGGCTGTTACCTACGCCAGTATCTCCACTCACTGTATCATCTCAGGCTGGTTTGAACTGGGGGTAAGACCTGGAAGCCTCTCCAGCTAAAATCAAGACCTCACCAGCATCCTTGTCCTGCATGCACAAGGTAACTGAAATGTCAGGAGCAGGAGTCACTGGGAGTGATTTGAAGTCTGATGACTTCAACTGTTGGAAAATGCATGTGTGCACATGCATGTGTTGGTGGGTTGACGAGCTGCTTCACAATCTGACTCCATCCCCAGCACATCAGGCTTCAAGTAATGCATTTTATTATTGTGTAGAGCAGCTCATCTGTCCAGACGAGAGCACAGTTAGATACCAAGCCAGGCTGCAGGTACTGAGGGGATGGAAAAGACCAGTCGTGGGCAAGCCACAAGTGTTCAAGCCCGACCATCTGCTGCTGTTGGATAAATCTCTAACCTGTGCTCTCAGTTGGCCAAGGGGAACTTGTTAGGCTGAATTTATGTCTCTAGCTTCAGGTTACAGTCTGGCATGTTAAAATAAACCAGCACTGACTTTGGGTTAATTTAAAAAGCTGGGCTGTAGATTAGAGATGGAGAAGAAATCACAGAAGGAGCTGTACGTGATCACTAGTGTGGGGAAAAGGAGACAACCCCATGCTACCAACAGCTTGAGCAAGGCCAGGGCACCTCCCTGAGAAAAAGGAAAGGATGGAAAGCCCCAAGGTGAAGGGGTGGATGAAAAGAGGCTTGGACCCATGAGCAAAAGCACTCTCCTGCTCTGGAACCAAATGTTGTGTGCTCTGAAAAAGCAAATTTGAACCACTGTTTGTCTTGATAACATTGTATCTTATTACTATTGTTTGTCTTGTTTTCTCTCACAACCCATCCCCTTCCAGAGGAGTAGTGTTCCTGAAAACTTGGATGTAATGTGGAGGAAGGAGGATAATTATTTTTTAAAATTCCCTTTTGTAAAACATGAAATTAGAAAAAAAAAAAAAATCAGATGTTTTCACTGCTAGAGAAAGGTAAGGACAGAAACAGAGGAGAAATATCTGGAGAAAAGAAAAGCTTTCTCCTAGCTTTATGGAATTCTGGAGCAGGAGCAGATGGATGAAAAGCACTAATAAGAAAAAGTAAGTTTGAGGAGTGGACTTGAAGGCTGACTTGCTGCTTATCTGATTCCTCTGCCAACCGGGCTGGCAGTCTCGCAGGACGGTTTCAGGTAGCATCTGACCGAGTCTCCCAGCTCATCTTTGTGTGTGGGTTTTGGGTGTGTGTGAGCTAAGCTAAGCCTGCCAGTCATTTAAAGTTTGCTTTTACATACACGGAGGAGAGCTGGGCTGGTCGGACTGAGCGTTACAAAGGCTCTTTCTAGGAAAGAAGCTTTGCGCAACAGAAGGGAAAATAGGTCGTTGTCAAGGTTTAGGGCATTTGCAAAAGAAAGTAAACAAGTGGTGCGGCATGGCTGGGTGAGATGGGAGGTCAGCTCCGTGCCGAGCAGGATCTGCCCCTTGCTCAAGACAAGGCTGTACTTGCAGGAGGGTTTGGCTCGGAGGAAAGTCAGCCTCGTGTTTGTGGCAGCGGGACTCGGATCGCTACCCTGCTCTGATTCCCCACATGATCCCTGGCAAATCATTTAATCCCAGCGCCCCTCCTGGGTACAGAGAGGAATCACTGCCCTGTGACACCCAAGGCTTTGGGTGCCAAGCTCTGTGGGGCACAGCTTGCACCCAGAGCAAGCGGGGCTGTTGGCAGCGCTGCGGAGGTGCTGGTAAGAGTGGGAGGCTAATGGGGATGGGAGGCCAGGGCTGGAGCAGTTGCACCAGCCATGGCCATGGCAGACCCAGAGTCAAGCCTGTCCCAGAGAGACTCCGATGCAGAAAGCAACAAAAGCAAAGGAAAAAAATAACAACCACCAACCGACTGCAAAAGCACCGCCAGTCTTTAAAAATGCCCTCAGGCATTCGCCAAGCAAAATCCCAAGGGAGCTCAGCTGCCTCCCTGCATGATACTGAACCACAGCAAGCTACCTTCCCACCACCCCCCGTCCTTGGGTGCGGGGCTCGGGGGGGAGGCTGGGGCACGCACCCCTGCATCTCCTCATGCCAGAGGCAATGGACGGCTCTGTCCTTGCAGCAAGGGCTGCGGTTTTGCCCTCCCGGGGAGGGGACAAGCCGTGCTGGAGCAGGGCTGCGGCACCCAGGGGGGCTGCGCGGGGGCTCTGGAGCACATCTGCCAGCTGCCTGGCCCCCGCCGCCAGCCCGCGAGTACATCTTGTTTGTGTTTTTCTGTGGAGCACACTCCCAGCGGGTTATGTCAGAGGTGAGGAATGCAGGGCCACCCTGTGTCATGAGATCAGACTTACATTTTTAGGCTGAGCGCTTACCGTATTTGCTGGGAAGCAGCATGCAGGCGGCACGCGGGGCCCCGGAGGGGTGGGAGATACCCCCTTCGCCTCCATCCCCGCTTTTCCAGCCCTCGCTCCAGCAGAGCCGGGTGGAGCGGATGGGGCCCGTCTGCTGGAACAAGCTCTCCCTCTGTTCCTCGCAAGGAGGGAGAAAAGGAAACGCAGTGAATTAACGCGAATGAAAAGGCAGCAGTGAAAGGCGGCCGGGCGCCATGCCAAGCGCTCCGAAAACGCTCGCGGAGAGAGGTGGTGGCGAGCTGCTCTCTGCTGCCGCTGAAGGCATCGGCGCCCCGGGTCGTCCCACGGGGGGGAAACTCATCCAAGCACCAGTACCCACAAAATATCAGGGGGCTGAAAGCCTTAGGAGAGAGATATGAGCCCCTCCAGGGCCATCGGGGAGCTGGGAAAGCTGCGATAGGGGCTCTCGCCGTGAAGGACGTTTGCAGGGTCTGACCCAGAGCACTGCCTAGACCGGTGACTTTCCCCCCAGTTTCGCTGCTGGGAGCCAACCCTTACGTCCAACCTTTCTACACCGTGTTGACTGCTTCGCAGGAGTCCTTCTGCTCAAGGAAATCTGGTGCAAAACAACTCTGCTGATGTCTTGCAGGGCTGCTGCACTGC